TGACAAATTCTCTCTAGGAAGGCACTTGGGGTTTCCCTGTCCTCCTGCTTCACTTCCTAAATTTTTGATAAATTATTTACTTTCGGAAGTCCTTGTCTCAGTGTCTCCACTATAATCTGCTGGCGGGTCTGCAGCCTCTGCAGGTGTGCAGGATCCTGTGGATTCCAGTTTGGATCGTTCTCAGGAAACCTCTGGAGCAGCTGCCACTGCGGCTCCCTCCTTTCGGCTATTTTAGTTCCCGCAGCTATGACTAACCTCCTTTCCTTACTTGTCAAAAACATATTCAACATTGCCTGCAAGTCCCCCCAGGTTGGGTTATGGGTTCGGATTACGGATAACACCAATTCAGCCATTTTATTAGGGTTCGTAAGGAGGCATATTATTTTTCCAATTATACAAATCAGCAGTAGAAAAGGGAGTGTAAACTAACACCATCTCAGTCCTCCGCTGCTCGTCAGATATTGGGGTCTGCCTTAACGGGAATAACTGATGGTGAGGGTTTACTGACTCCCTGCGCTTTGGGGTCTCCCCATAACCATTGTTTTTTTCCTTAAAAGGTGAGGACTGGGGGTGACCTTTCATCACTAAGGGACCAGTGAGGGGTATAGCTGCGGGGGTGAAGGATCTCACTGTCTGTGAGCTTGGGTAAAATGAGCATAGGGTGGAGGGACCTTCTCCTTTTCTTCCTGCAACACTGGGGTGTTAGGTTTCTGTTCACTACCCCCGTCAGTCTCATCTTCCCCTTGAATCACAAAGATCCTACACTTTGTTCTTACTGATTCATCTGTAGCCACTTTTTGGAATATAGCCACGTACTTATCTTCTTTAGGTTTCCCCAAATAATCCAACCTCCTTCTTAAGCTAGCAATTTTACTCAGCTTAAAACTTCCGTTGACCGGCCACCTTTGCCCATTGTCCAAAAGGTAGTTCGGCCATACGGAGGTGCACAAGTGACTTAAGGTACCTGTTGTTAAGTTCTTATCTCCATGGGTTAATTCACAAAAGCTTTCAACCACACCTTCCAGGGGGGTGCGAGGGACTCGAACTCTTTGTGACTTTTTCCCTGCGCCCTTGGTCTGGCCAGACCCTATTTTCAGACGACTTCCAAAGGGGCTACCTCTGTCAAAAGAGGCACCCCGAACACAAAGAAATTGGGGTTTTTATACATTAAGTTCAAGAAAACAGCCAAAAGGAGGGATAATGATTGGTTAGGGCCTCTTCATGACCTTGCGCATCATACTGCTGCAAACTTAGGTTATTATGATGGTTGACTGTCGGGTGACATCTCGTTATCATAAAGAGACAATATGCCTATAAGGGACAGTATACAATACTAGGAAGTCTGGTATCATAAGAGATAATATCCAGGGAAGGGTCACTAAGTTAGTTTGCATTTATGTATCTCTACCATCAGGAAGGGGTACCAAAAGGAGGGGAAATTACAGGCTAATTCCTCTGTGCCTTGGGAAGGTTTCATATATGGGTTACCACATCCTTGCCCTAAAGACAGAAGGGTCACTAAGGTTAAAAGACCCATGATAGGTTAAGGCTGGGAGGGGTCAACCATAGGTTCTTGTTTTCCCACAGGAATCACACTTAACAGTATTTCTCCATTTCATGCCCCTCACACAAATACATATTGATACACATAAATATTGCAAACAAATTCATAATACTGCATTTCCTTTTTATGTAATAATTATATTTAGTTGCTATCTGATTTTGATGAATTAATAAAAAGAACGAAATATACAAACACGTGGCTTTCTAAGTCAATGTGCGGCCCAGAGGGATCCTTACATACAGTTTAGTGGCTCCCATTTCTATTTGGGTTTGACCCCACTGCGGTCCGCCCAAAACAAACAGATCCCATTATTGCTTAACGTAATCTGTGAACGTGGCCTCTGCCTCCCACCAGATTTGTGGCACAAATCAGGGTTGTCACCTCACTTCCTTCCATCCACTGGTGCACATACAGGACAATGTTTCTACATAGAAGCAGGTGGACCCTGAAACCCCTTTTCCTGTGACCCCTACAACTCTATCCACAATTACTAAGAATCACTGGGATGGCTTCCCACCATTCTGAGGCTGTGAAAACATACCAGTTGTGATATAAGGTTGAAACCAGAGGTCATGTAAACAATGTAAAACTTTCCCCAAATTCTCCCCCAAATCCAAAAAAATGTAAAAAAATGTACACTTCAACAGCCATGCCCACTTTGTATTCGTCTCGTCTCCCGTGGTCTTCACCTCCCCCAAATCATTTCAAGTCCCCCAAGTTTTTGGCCCTTGGTTACAGGAAGCCAGTTGGTGCCTGAACGTTAGGAAAATGTCCTGATTCTAAGTGAAGTTCAATCGATAGTGGAACAAGTCGGGGGGGGGGGGGGTTTCTGGGCAAATCTGGGCAGCATCTGACATGGAGCCTTCTATTTGGGACCCCCAAGGACCCCTCCTACTCCAACCAGTCTCCTGTGGTGCCACCCGTTTCTTCTGACCCAATACCATCCTCTCTGTTGAATCTGGCAGATGTAAACGGATGAAGACTTTAACCATCGTCTTTCTGCAGTCCCCACAGTTCTTCATAAAGAGGCGTGGAAGTGGGAACCCTTTCTCTTTTTTATAACGCAAATGGAATTGCCCAATTCAGTCCCCTCTCTTTGCTGGCTAAGCAGCTGGTCACAACTAGATGGCGTCCAAGGACTGCAAGCTCAGGAAAGTTTTGGTAAGCTGTGGACAACTTCCTAGCAGTTTCTGAGGGAACACATGGAGTTGAAAGTATAGTATCCCAACCGTTACCTTAGAATGTATGGGGTAAACAACAACAACAAACCCTGTTACAATACCTTGCAGTGTTAACAGGGGAAAAAAGGCAATTTTTTTCCTCTGCACTTGGCTGCGAAGTTGCAGTATTTTGCACCCAGCTGAATGCAACATGTAGCAAAGCCGGCCAAAATAGCTTTGGGAAATCATGATTTTCCATGCCAAAATTAATAGTTAATCTTAAAAATGTTAACCTTAACAAAGCTATAAAAATGAACGCAACTCACTTGTTTTGTTTCAGTTTTACCATTCCCTCAGCTTTACGTTGGTTCCAGCATGGTTCACCCAAAAGGGGAATACTTTTCTGTGCTTCTAATACAGACATTATACACATTTCCTACAAATGCATATTTCCGTACATGATTTTTTTGAACGCGGACATTGTGCAGGCTCCTTTATAGAAAGCATTTATAGCATCTTCCCTTAATATAAAACCATTTTGGTAAGTTCTTTCGCTACAGCTCCACATTTTAGTATGTAGTTTTTGAATTCTGAGCTGGATCTCACAGTCTCACATATAACTGTCCAGTTGAGGAAGAGGTTTGATATATAAAAATGTTCCGTCAGAACGTGATACTGAAGAGACTTTCTCTCCCACCCAGCTTCCAACACTTGTGCTGTTTCTGGACTGAATATGCTGGGGGGAGGCTGATGTGGCTGATTTCCTGGCAGGCCTCTTGGAGAACAGTTAGAAAAAAGGCAGGAGGAATGTTTTGTAGGGCACCACACACCACAGGGGGAATAAAAAATGACAGGAACTGGTCCTCCGGGTGTTGTGGCTACCCGAGTTCGGGGTCTGGCTATGGAGTGAGGAAGACTCTCAGCGTGTTCACCACAGGCTAGGTTAAGGCAGTCAAAGGGTGGTTTGTCATTCAGCGTGTGGTGGGAACCCACTGCTGCCTCCCCCTCTCGCGAAGCCATAAAATGGTGGCATTTCTCTCGCCACAGCAGCTTCTGTCAACATGGCCACTTATACACTGTAATCTGAGTTTCGGGGTCCGTGTATTGTGTGACCTCAGCTCAGCAAAGAGGGAGAATCTCAGGGATGGGAGGACCTGGGTTCAGATCCTCCCTTCGCCTTGAATAACCTTGAGCTTGTAGGGCTCACCCGGCCCAGGCGCATGGCTGAAACCGGGCAGCCACGGGAGGGATCCGAGGGGCCTCTCTGGACCCTCCGAGGATATGACTGGGGAACTGCCCTTTGCCGTGTGACAGTTGTGGGCCAAAAGTTGGCACTGCAGTCCCGTTACTCCTCCCCAGCTGCAAACGGGAGGCTTTTCCTTCCTCTCTTCTTTCAGGAGCTTGAGAATTTATTCCAGATTTTTTTCTGAGCAGTTTGATGGCTGGAGGTGACCAAAGATACCTGACTGCCGAGAGTGCTGCCCGCCCTGCCTCTCCTGGGTGAGGGAAGGCGGCCTGGGGCGCTCCGGGAGCTGAAGTCCGCGCCTTCAGCGCCTCGCCCCCACGCCGGAGAGAGCCTCC